AGAAATAATCATTTTTATAAGTATGTTAGTTTTCATTCTTTTACAGAACTCCAGATTTAAGATATTCAGTAGTGTTGTAGTTTAATTTTTTAAAAACAATTTTATTAAAAAATGTAAAAGAGTGTAAGAAACAGTAGAAGCCCATAATAAGGGAAAAGAAAAAGCAAGAGAGATTGAGCCGAAGTCCCTTTGAATTAAAAGAGAAAAAAAGGAAAAGGAAAAAATTTAGCATTATAACCAAACTCCAAGCTCTCATGTTCCAACGACTACAGCCCGACAGTATCAATTATCTCAATTCAAAATAATGAATAAAGAAAAAATTGCAATCTAATAGCTAAACAAACCAAATAACATCCTTATCAATATTCAAACTTATTAAACTCTAGTGTTTCCAACAAAGGACTACCTGGTCAAAATTTGAGTATAGATTTTGGTACCAAGATGTAGCAAACAGCAGTTGTATATACATCCTCCAACTTCATCACCAATAATTTAGCCAAACCTAAGGCTCTTCGAAGCAAACCGAATCAGAATTAAACTACAAATAGAAGTTGCACAACCAAACAGAATTAAACTTTTACAAGTAGACCTTGTCGGCAAAATACCAAGTTTTTTTTGTCACCTGTGCAATATGTAATTATATATAGTAAACCCAAAAAAGTTGGACTCCATGAAGACTTCCAAATGATATTTGATTGCTAAACCCCAACACTGATAAAGATCTGTATTCATAGTTTGTCAAACCATATGATTGCGTTTGAATAATAGTAAATGCGAACATGAGTAATTTTCCCGCCAAATGTCATTGATATTGAACTGCCAAGAGACATTATACCTACTTTTACAATACAAACATTGCTACCTTGAGTTGGGTTTAGAGTAATAATGTTTTTCAACAAAACTAACTTCAATTTCTTCATAAAACATGTAATATATGAGAGTAAATTCATTTAAAAGCTAGAATTCACTTTTGAAAATGAAAAAACACACGTAATTACCACTAATCAAGTGTATCTTCTTTTTTTTCTTTGATTAACACTTTGGTACATGTAATTAACAAAGAATCTCATGTAGACCAATTTTTTTAAGGCAACTGATTTTGAATTATAATTCTTCTATTATGAACTTGAGACTTTAGAGGTGTGGAGCATTTTCTTGGAATATAAAATATAGGTTAATAAATTTGCAGAAGGGAAGCTGTTTCATCATTCGGTCACTAAAGCATAGATGCCTCTACCAGATCAATTATTCAATCATTAAGCGAATTAAATTCACCAACCTTAATTCTTTGTATAGCCAATATGCTCTGACCCCTCAATGGAACAACCAGCTGTGCAGAAAGGAAAAAATGAATATGTTCTTGAAGGCATGTCCATTATTTTCCAATAGAACATTTAAGTTTAGCGTTGCAAAAAATAATTTGACTTTGCCTTCTTATGAGAAGAGTGGTCACCTGAATAATAGGGAGGACTTGTTAGTAGCTTGTTCTTTGAGTAAAAAGAGAGGAGAAGTGACTAAAACTAAGAAGTAAAAATGATGATAACTTTCAACTCTTACATAACAGAAGTGTACAGTTTTGCAAGCACAATAACTTTTTTTGCTACGCATAGCAATAACAGTCTATTAAAAAAAAGCTATAGATATAAAATCTTAACAAATTTGTCTAGATAGATTGTAAAACGGGAGAGAATAAGGTAACAAAGATATTGAAAAATGTGGAAAACAATGGAAAATGTAAATTTTGTGATGATAGATCGTACATTCCAAATTCTCATCTCCCGTATAGTATGGCTTGATTTTTAAGTTCATTAATTTGTGGTTTCATCCTATACTTTTGAAGGTAAACAACATGGGCAAGAGTTAAGTATCAGTAGTGTTAAAACATTCCAGCTGCATAAATCAATTAATAGCAAAAAGTAGTAAGATGATATATCAATTAAATAAATAAGATATAAAGTGCAAGAATCCCATTTCTTAGGAGGATATGCGCCTCTGCCATGATTTATCCTAAGTCAGATGACTTGGGTCCAACCTGACACGCAATTGCTCTCTCATAACCTTAAAAACTACACTTGGTGTTGGGTTCAGCCTAGTTAAGAAGTAGAAAAGAAAGGAAAATAATTTAATCAGAATAGACTACAATACATGAGACAAAGGGTCACATCATTGATTCAAAGTTTAAGGAATCTATGGCCATACACACATTTCATAGTTACCATAGCTAGAAAGAAAAATATGAAATGAAATTGAATTTTGAAATTGAAATGAAAAAAATGCACAAAGAAAGAAAAAGATGCATGAAAAATACCCGCGATTTTTCCCTCTGTTTTTTCCAGTAGCACCCATCAATTCGTAGTTACACAAATTTTAAGGATCCTGTGGCAATATGAAATTGAAATGGAAAAAATGCAAAAAGAAAGAAAAAGATACATGAAAAATACCTGTGATTTTTTCCCTCCGCTTTTTACAGTAGTACCCATCAATTTGCAACAACTCACAGCCCGGTTGAGCTTTACATTCCTATATTGCAGCTGGAGGTTACCCGTGTTTGAAAACCAAATATTAGGGTTTAAGATCGAAGTAAAGTAAGAATTAAAATTCACCTGAAGTATTCGATGCTTCAACATACCAAAGCAGATATGTGATCAAAAGGGATTAAAATGAAAGTTTAATATCTAGGTAATAAGTGGTGTATTAAATGGATTAAAACAAATGAACACACCTCTTCCTTTTATCGTGTCAAACACCTTTGAGATGTGAAAATAGATTCTCGTAATCTCAGAGTATCAATATGAAATTGAAATGATAAAAATGCAAAAAAGAAAGAAAGAAAAGGATCCATGAAAAAATACCTCCAATTTTCTCTTCTTCTTTTTGAAGTAGCACCCATCAATTCGCAACAACTTGTCCCCCGATTGAGCATGAAAAGTTATCATATACTTATAACATTTGATCCAGGTATGACAGTAAACTTATAGTCTGATCCAGAGATTCTTACATAGCAATAAATACTTCTACTGCTTCTTGTCTCCCATGAACTTGTAAAAACCTTGTTACAACAACCTAACACAAAAACAACATATACAAAATATATATATTAGAAAAACTAATCTAGTGTAAGGAGGAAAGACATTCAAGATACTCTCTTCTCTTTGTCTTCACAAATACTTCAATTTTTTTTATCATCTTATCTACCTCATCAGGAGGCAATGTGCTAGCGCATGTTATAGTAATGTTTTGTTTTTTCCACTCTCCTTGTAAAAAAAGTGATAGAAACTGAGTATTCTATCATGTGCTTAAGTTTTAACTTATTCAATAACCAATAAGCATTGTTAAAAAACCATTAAGCATGAAATTGATGATGGTTTTATATCTTTAAAACTTTGCCAAAGACGCGAGCGTTTACCTCCCTTTGTTGGCTGCTGCTACCCTTGGGTAATTAAACCAGAAAAGATGTCCTGAATATTAAAAGTGAGCGAAAAAGCTGCCAAATACTGCATATGTGCTCCTAAAATAGCACGAAAGACCAATTCCTAGTACAAATTCTTCCAAGACTATGCTCCTATTAAACTCAAGACCAGAATCAGGGGACCAGGCAGCTTATATCCAAAATCCCTGAAATCTTCTATCAATTGAAACATTTCCTATCATAGTGAAGTGAAAATTATGGTCAGAAAAAGCTTATACGTAATGATACACCATAAGAAGATGCTGAAAACGTGTAAATTTAGAAGTAGAAATCTCATTTTTAATGGAAGAGGAGGAAACTTTCTTTAAGTGCAATCCTTGGCTGCCACCTCCCTGGTTCATCGACTTGGAAATCTTTATTATAAGGGTGTAATCCGCAACATCCAGAATGGTGGCCAATCTGAGTAATCTTAATAGAATTTTTGCAACAGAAGAAGATATGGGGCTCTTTTCAATTTAAATAGCTTCATCAACATTAGAATCAAATGCAAACTCAATAATATCAACACTCTCAATTTCATAGGTTCAAGAGTTTGATTCTAATTTCTTGAAGGAAGTAAATCTTTTATAACAAACTTATCCAAATCCCCTTTTTGAAAAATGTTTAAGCTTTCTAATTTAAATCAAAACGTTGAAGAATAAAATAATAAACTTAAGAAAGAACCTGGAACTTAGATATGTGAAATCATAGGCAGCCCCCTCTCTGTCTTATTGTCTATTGCATGTATCTACAAATAATTCACACTCAAAAATCTGATTCGTACAAAAAGTTTGAGTTTATTAGATTCATCAAACCCTATAAAGTTCATGAATTAGACTTGATGTAATTCACACTCAAAAATCTGATTTGTAAAATAAATCTAAGTTTATGAGATTCATCAAACCCTATAAAGTTCATGAATTAGACTTGATTAGAAGGAATCACTCTGTATTCTTGAAAGAGTGATTCAAATGCTTGAAAAGTACCACAGAGAACATCCAAGGTGGAGCACGAAAAAGGAATATTGGCGTGTAAGACGATGAGTATTTGGTAGGAAGACGACGCTCCACCCGGCTTACTTTTAAAATGCCAAGCCATATGGAAACATCACCATCGGAAAAATCTTCTTATAACGAATTAGACAAAGAAACATTGTCGTTTTAAAAATAAACCTTGTGTAATTATAAAAGTAGCAAAACGACAATTTGAAAAGTGAGACGTTTTGACCAATATCTACACTAATGGTAGACCACTAATAGCCACACTAACAATGAGGAGGTAAATTCATGCATATGATTTCAATTTCAGATTCTGTATTCCCCTTTTTGTTGATGAAAAAACATCATTATTTAGTGTTCCCCTTAGTGGCCATTTAAGAGAGAATTGATACTTTTTATATAGTCAAACTGACAATGAGGAGGTAAATTCTTGCATCTGATTTCAATTTCAGATTTTGTATTCCCCTTTTTGTTGATGAAAAAATACCATTATCTGGTGTCCCCCTTAGTGGCAATTTAGCAGAGATTTGATACTTTTTATATAGTCAAGCCATTAAACCATCATCTAGAAAGATTACCTTCTTTGCTGCCATGGTATCCCACGAATATGATATTCCCCTATCGCCATGGTCGTTTGCTTCCTCGAGGAACCCTAATTGGCCACAATTCAAAACAGAAAGAATACTTTTTAAGTAGTCTGAACCATAGCACCATCATATAGCAGGATTACCTCCTTTGACGTATGGTCCTCTCTTCTCTCATGGTCCTTTTAGTTATAATCAACAAAAACAATTAAGAAAAATACAACACATAATAGAAGAGAAGACACAATTAAGAACCTACAAAGCTATTTTCTAACCATAGCTCTCCTCAAGTGACACTCTCCTAACATCGAACATAGAGACTGCACAAAATCTTCCTATGGACGTTAATTGCAAGAAAATTGACCAATAGGAATTTATAGAGGCCTTTCTTGAGGCTTTCTAATAAAACAATAAAGAAATAGAAGAAATACATGACCAACTTCAATATCTTCATCAATATTATCAAAGTTATCAATTTCAATTGTTTCATTAACACCAAATGAAACATCAATAATATCAACACTCTCAATTTCCATAGCTTCAAGAGTTTGATTCTGATCTCATTTCTTGAAAAAAAGTAAATTTGTTATAACAAACTTATCAAGAGCCCCTTTTTGAAATTTGTTTAAAGTTTTTAATTCTATTACTCATTTTAAATCGAAGCGTTCAAGAACAAAATAATAAACTTAAGAAACAACCTGGAACTTAAATATGTGAAAGGTCTACCAAGTCCATTTAAATTCTGAAAAAGTAAAAAATAATCATCAAACAAATTATTCAATAGTCAATAAATTGAATTTGGAATAATTACTAAAATTTGAAGTTAGAAAATAGAAACATTACAACTAAAGTATTGGGAAAGAAGACCAAGAGTGATGACTGAAGATGGAAGCACCTCAAGCTCTCAATAACGAAGCAGTCACATATTTTGTAGGGAAAAATGAAAAACTTACACTGTTCACTGCACTTTCTTGGATAATTTGTGCATATTTTGGTTTTAGTTTGTATCCAAGAATAAAAATACCTACATCACCTGGGGATTTGAGCAAGGATGCAAGAAAGGAAGCTTAACTTGACAAAACCCACCACGGCACAGATAGCTACACACGAAGATGTAAAGGTTGAACCTGTGGTGAGATTGAGCTCAAAGTGTAACCATGATGTGGTTTTCGAACTCATTTCTCAAAGAACGGCATTCCTAAATGAATTTACAGATTAATTGATAAAAAATAGGGCACAATCATGTGTAGCATATTCCTCCAGCATGAGAAAGAAATTCTTAGAACTTTGAACTGGTAAGTAAAAAAGTGTGAACCATGAGTCATTATTCTGGTCAATTAATGAGTCATTATTCTGGTATGATGAACATGCTAGGGAAAAATGAAAAACTTACACTGTTGATTGCACTTTCTTGGATAATTTGTGCATATTTTGATCCTCCATGAAGCTGGGAATATAAGAAAAATACTATGTGCCTTCCGTGGATTTGTAATTCTAGAGAAACCCAAATCTCCACTTTATCATTACTCTGTAAACCACCTCTACTTTCCTTCCAGCGGCCCAGCGACTACAACCGTAGCACCACTCAGGAAATCTCAGTGCCGTACACGCCATCAACGTCGTGGCGGCAAGAGCAGTGTTAAATTCCAATTCGGCAAAGAGGAACAGCGAGCAGAGCATTCCGACAACCACCCAGCCACGGCGGCGGTAGCAGCGTAGTCCAACTGAGACATCCGGCGGTGACAAAGCCGGCAAAGACGTATTCACAGTGATCCCAAAACCAGAGAATAGATAGAAAGAGAAGAGAAACTGAGCAGATAGAGAAGAAGAACAGTACGCCGAGCAGGGAAAAGAACGAAACAGAGAACAGAACATGGCAATGAAGAACACACAGTAGGGTATAATTGCAACCCAAATTTCTAAATTTTCAATTCAATACAACGCATTACACAATCGAATTTACAAATCCAACTTCAATTGACTGAAGATATATTAACGAATACTAATCTACTAATTAATTTTAGCGACATAAATCACTTACCTTGAATCCGCGTAAAATTTCCGGCAAAGGACTCCGGCGATGTTCTTCTCGTTTCCGGCTGAGTCGATCCGTGAATTTCTTTCCGGCGAGCTCCGACGTCTCTCCCGTCGGTTTGGTTCGTCGCTTGTGGTTGGTGGAGCACAGTTCCAAGTAGATTAAATTAAATAATTGAATTCAAGTAGATTAAATATAATATGGAGTAATTGAACAATTGGGCGAGGGAATTTAGTTCGCCGCCGATGTCCGTCGACCACAGTTAAATTCACAGTCCAGTCTAGTATTTGATGAAATTTTGGTGAAAACCTGGATTGAGTTTCAGCGGCAACTTCCGTGGGGGTCAATCTGAAGAGGTGGAGGCGACGACATGCCTATGGCCAATATGATAGCATCCTCGTTCTATCTAAACGGAAAAGGAGATTTGGAATCGTCCGTTTGATTCTGCAATCCCTGAAGTTGAAGAAGAAAAGCCAGATGTTACAACTGACCTGGCAAATTAAACTACACGTATGATCCTGCATGGAACGACAGGTGTCAACACCACAGGTAAAAAACCCTACTTTATATATATATATATATATGATGATTGGACACAAACATTTAATTGTCTAGAGAGTGTTTATTTATATTTTAGAACGAGTCTCGATTACACAAATATTTAAAGGTCTAACGAGTGTAAGATGATTGTTTATTTTATTCAATGAAAAAATATTGTTTTCATTGTTAATAAAAAAGGAGTAAAATGCCAACAAAAAAGACATAAAACAGAGACATTACAAGTATTGCTTTCTGTAAAAACGAATCACTACAAAAATTTTTAGTTTCTTTTTATAAATGCTCCTTTGTTTTTATGGTGTATATAGATCTCCACTTTATTAGCAATTTGACAAAATGAAAAAAAAAATATCAAAATTGACTCTGAACAAATTTTTTAACTAGAGTTTTGATTAATGTTATTTATATTTTAATCATGGACAAATGTATTTATAGTTTCAAGAGTAATAAATCATAATTACTTGAAAATTCTAATATGCAACGAACACAGTATTTTCACAAATTTATACGAGTAATGTGAATTATAAAGTAGTTTTTCAAATATTGTAAATCATTTAACTTTTGTAACTTAAAAAAATGAAATCTCTATATTCTATTATATACTAATTTGTAACATTTAAAAATGATGTTAATATAATTTAATAATTTAAATATGACACGTGCAACGCACGGATGTGATACTAGTACTCCATGATCAGAAGTGGTGTTAAACACTACTCGTATAAAAGACAAGAGTAAAACCCTTACTAGGTCCTTACTTTTTTTAATTTTTTAAAGAAAAATAGACAGCTAAAGTAATTTAGAGACTTTAGGGTCACTTGATAGAATTTAGGATGGGGTATGGACAACTGGATTGGGCAATAAAACACTTGAGTTGAACCACATTAAAAAATTGAATCCAATCGATTAGTTAGTTCAACTCAATAACTTATATACCGATTATTCTGATCTTGAACTTTCGATGTGGGATGACACTTTTGAAAAAATATAACGATCTAGTAACGCTTTTACCCAAGTGATTAATATACACGTAGTATTCCTTGAAAAGTATTATAGCGAAAATGAGAATGACTATTTTAGAACGATCAAGAAAAAAAATGAAAAAACTTGGGGCAATTACGAGTAATGAGACTAGATAGCTAGATAGAATGAATGATCAACAATACAAAATGCACACCATATCTTCCCATAAAGCCTGACTTCGTACCATTACCATTCATAATCACTCTATTCTTGAAAGCAGGGGAATTATTTTCCCGCCCAATGCACTCATCTCCTGCACCGTCGATATCAAAGAACAAACAAGATCTACGGCTATGATTCGTTGTGTAATATTACCTATTTAAAATGACAAATTAAAGGAAATTTTGCATGCATAATCACTCTATTCTAATAAAAAATGAAGGGAGTAATTTGTTTCCTAACCAATTTCGTCTAATTACTTGATTGTGATAAAAAAAGAAGGAACGGTGCAGGAGATTTTTTATCTTTTGTTTCCTTTTTAAATAGGTAATTATTTACGCCTAATTATTACTACTATTATTATTATTATTACTTGGAGTAATTTACGCCTGTTTATTTATGCCTAATTAAATAGGTAATTATTTACTTAATCACTCTATTCTTAAAAGGAAATACTTTTAAGAATAATAGAATGATAAATTAAAAGAAATTTCGAATGCATAATTACTTAATTCTGATAAAAAAGGAAAGGAATACTTTTGCAAACAAGATCTACGTTGTTTCCTTTTTAGAATAATTCCGCATGCATAATTACTAAATTACTCTATTCTTATTTAGAATGATAAATTAAAGGAAATTTCGCATGCCTAATATATTTCTAAAAAGAAAACAAAATATAAAAAATATTATTTATATAAACTTCTTTTCTAATGCCGAACTTTTTTATAAAATTGGAATTGATATAATAAAAAAATGATTACCATTCAACTAAAAGTAATATTTGTCCATAAAAGGTAATAATCACGTTAAGGTTTAAATTTTTTAATTAATGCATTAAATTTACAGTTTCGTAATTTATGTAATTTCCAATTAAGAAACAAACTATTTTAATCATACAAACTATTTGTTTCCTTTTCCAATTTAGAAACAAACCATTTAATCATACAAACCATTTTAATCATACAAACCATTTGTTTCCTTTTCGGAAAGAAATCAAATCTAGAAGAAATGTCAAAGTAATACATAGAAATGGTGGTACATATAGTAAGTGTTGAATAAATAAATGATAATTAAATCATAAATCACCGTGTAATGAGAATAGATCATGTTATCGTGTAACAAGAATAATAATATTAATATATCGTGTAGTAATATTGCCGTATTTAATCATTATTAATTTATTACCATGTAAGAAGAATGATAATAATATACTATGTAATAAAATTACCGTAATTAGTCATTATTATCGTCTAATAATTCTAATCTGAGAAGATTTCAATTTAAAAATGTTTCCATTTAGAGAACATGGCCAAACTTAATATTACTATATTTAATCATTATTAATTTATTACGGTGTGGTTATGTTAAGAAAATAAGCTTTCAATTTAATTATGTTTCCATTTAGAGATTCGGTGCCAAATATTTTATAAAGAAATTTAAATATATAAGTTTATGCATTTAAGGAAGGCACACTTAAAAAAATCAAAATAAAAAATAATAAAAGAAATTAAATATAAAAAAATGTCAAAGTAATAAATAGAAATGGTGGCACATATGTTAAGTGTTGAATATAGAAATAATAATTAAATCATAAATTACTTTGTAGCAAAAATAAATCATGTATTACCGTGTAGAAAAAATAATAATACTAATATACCGTGCAATAATATTAATGTATTTAATCATTATTAATTTATTATCGTGAAAGAATAATNAAAAATAATAAAAGAAATTAAATATAAAAAAATGTCAAAGTAATAAATAGAAATGGTGGCACATATGTTAAGTGTTGAATATAGAAATAATAATTAAATCATAAATTACTTTGTAGCAAAAATAAATCATGTATTACCGTGTAGAAAAAATAATAATACTAATATACCGTGCAATAATATTAATGTATTTAATCATTATTAATTTATTATCGTGAAAGAATAATAATAATTATTATTATAATATACCGTGTAATAATATTATCGTACTTAGTTATTATTATCGTGTAATAATTCTAACCAAGTAAGCTTTCAATTTAATAATGTTTTCTTTTAGAGATCCAGACTCAAACGTTTTATGGAGACATCTTTTTAAGAGGTGTGCCTTTAATACATGGAAACGTATTGAATAATATATATCTTTATATGTTGAACAATCAACCACTAATTAATAACTTACCTGAAAAAAATTAGATGCATGGAAATAGAAAAATACTTTAATTTTTTCATACTTTAAATACAGTCATTCTCAGTCACTAAAGAAGTCTTTAAATAAATAAATGTTTTAAAAGTTTGATATAAAAAAGTTTGATATATAAAAATTATACGAGTAATGTAGAAAATCATGAAAAAGTCTTTAAATAAATAAATGTTTTAAAAGTTTGATATATAAAAATTATACGAGTAATGTAGTTTATAAAGAAGTCTTTCGTTATTTGTAAAACAATTAACTTTTGTACCTTAAAATAATAAAATCTTTATATTCTATTCTCTCCGTCCCGAAAGAAGTTCCCTTATTGACTTTTTGGAAAATTAAGGAAGGGATACTTTGGTGTTGACTTTCCAAAAATACCCTTGATGTCATTGATAAAAGTAAGATGTGATAGATAGATTATTAGTATAAAGGTATGATGTGATAGGTAGGTATAAAAAAGTAAGGAGTAAAAGTAGTTTTTTAATAGAAAAAGGAAGGAGTTGGTGGGACAGAAAAAATGAAAGGGGAACATGTTTCAGGGACGGAGGCAGTATTAGATAAGAAATTGTATCCTTCAAAAATGATCTTAATTTAGTAATATAAGTATGACCCGTGCAACGCACGGGAGTGATGCTAGTTATATTCATGGCCCTGTAATAATAAGCTGATCTAAATTCAATGAATTATTAAGTATAAATAAATTGGAATTACGTGTTATTTATCATTCACGTCATCTGTCATTACAAAACAAAATGTACTTAGAAACATTGTAACGTGAGTGATGGGTTGTGACTGTGCCAAAATTAATGTCTCATCAGTTTAGATAATGGGTCATCATCATCACCATTAATCATGCTTTACAACCATTTAATCCATTACCCTCCCAATATTTAGGTGCCTGTTTACCACTAATTTTACCCTTTCGGAACAGTTGTATTTACTTTAACATGTTTAAAATGTGAGGAAAATGTTAAAATCATTCCACTTTTACTTCAATTTATCTTTCATCCTACTCCGTAACTTTTAAATTTTAGATAAATTTGAAGATATGTGTGTAATGGGTAAATTTATATGAAAATATATGGGTGAGAAAATATAGGGGGTGAGAAAAGTATGTATATATTCATTTTTCAATATATCAAGAATGTCTTTAGTCGTGTTGTTCTTTTGGTTTAGAAAAATTAACTTCCAACTTCTTTCACATCCTTCTAGTTTCTACTAATTACTTCCAGTTTTTTTGAACTTCTAGTTTTTTCTAACAATGACTTAAAAATGTAGTATGATTAATACTCCCTTCGTCCCATAAAGATTGGGAGGGTTTGACTAAAGTGGTAAAATAAGGAGGGATAATTTTGTGTTGACTTTCAAAATATAACCTTGATGTGATGGGTAAAAGTAGGATGTGATAGGTAGATTATAAGGAAAAAGATATGATGTGATAGGTAGGGTATAAAAAAGTAAAGGATAAAAGTGATTTTTTAATAGAAATTGGACAGAGTTTAAGGGACGCAAATTTTTCGAAACGAGACTGACTTTAGGGGACGGAGGAATTATACT